CCCTCCATCTCTGTAGCTCTCCAGCATTTTTAAAATTTGGAAGAGTATTTTAGTGTTGCCAAACTGGAGAAATGAATTCTAAGCAGGTTTTGAATAAATTCCCTGCTGAAACTAGTTCAAGATGAAGGCTTTCGTAGTTATATTATCCTGTTGGAAAAATTGCCTTTTTTGAGATGCATGCAAATGGCCATCAGAGAAATGTCACCTGTGGGAATTTTTAAACATAAATATATAAAAGGTATTCTCATAGTTAAGAGTTACAATTAAGAGAAATACTTTGGTTGCAGCTTGAGGAGTTTGCTGGCAGTGGTAGATTAACGCATTTCTCTTTGAAATGCTCCACTGTGATTTGCTGCAGGATTATGTTGCAGATTTTTTTAGCAGTCTTTCTGTTTTTATGAAAACAGAATTACTTTTTCTCCTCAATTTGCTTCCGTTTTGTACTTTTTGGCATCCTTTGATGTCTGTGGTCTAGTTTAGTGTGCTTTATCTAAATCATAAGGAGTTAAAAGGATTACATAGGCGCTACTCTCATGAGTGTTCTTAATAAAGTATTTGACAAATAAGAATGTCTAATGTGCAATGCAAGGAAGATGTGACTTCTAGTAGTTGTATAACTAACAGTTCAACATGTGTTGCATAGTAAAGTTTGTGCTACTTGCCTCTCTCTGCTCCGACAAAACTCTTCGCTTGTGTTCTGCTTCCGTTAGAAGCGTAGGTGATAACCTCGGCAGAAGTTGCCAAGAGAGCTGATGCGGTACCAGAATGTCCTTGCTGTACGTCTTTTGCTTGGTTTTGCAGTCGCAATCCACAGCCTGATTTGCAGAGACACGGGCTCCCGTGCAGGGCAGTGGCAGCTCTCTGCGGGGCAGTGCCCGGGACGTGACCGGTGTTCCTGCTTCCATCGGCCGCGGGCTGTGCCTCGAGCCCCGAGAGCGCGCTGGCGAGAGCTGGGGCGGTGGGCGGCTCGGGCAGCTCCCCAGGGCTGGTTCCTGCTGCAGCTCTTACAGATCCGTCCCTGACCACGTTCTTGCAGGGATGCGCTTCTCTCAGTTCTCCGTGGTTTTCTTCAGCTCAGAGTAGTGTCTCGGGTGAATTGTTCTTTCTGACCGTGTCAAGAGACTCCTTAGGAGCGTGTCGCAAGGAATCTGGGAGTTTCTTTTCTCCCTCTGTTGCAGGCTTTGGAAACTCTGGTAGGGAGGAATGGTTCATGATGTGAGAAGATGGCAAGTGAAACCTATCTTCCTTTGAGTGGGGTTGACAGTGCAAGGCAGGCTTTTCCTACCTGCTGGATTGGTGACTCTCAAACCAAATTTCCAGGTAAGAAATTATTCGTGCTTCTCACTTAAATCAGCCTTAGGTAGGGTAGAAGGAGAGAAACAAAACTGTTTATGCTACGCTCTATATGTAGCAGCAGACGGGGGACAGTAAACATGTATGGTTGAAAATATTGTTGCTGTTCTGCGTAATGTCTGGAGAAGTGTGTGACAAAAAGTAGAATCTGATCTGAACTGCACAATTAGTTGGGAGTAGGATGTAATTCATTTCACCACAGTGTTACTGGAAATGGCAGGGAAGGGAAAATTTGGTACATACAGCTGTGTATATAAGTACTGTGGAAGAGAGGCAATACGTGTTTATGCTCTTGGCTGTCACAGGTCTTTTTACATCGTTGTGAGGTTTGTGATCTAAAGGAGAAAAACCAGAGATGTCAGCCTCTCAGATTGGCGGAAGAAGCTTGGAAGCCCTCTCCTGTTATCTGCAGCTCTTGTAAAATAGTTCCTACTTTTCCGTGGCCTTAGAGGTCCAAAGGCAGTTTGTTCTTGGGTTTCTTCATGAAAGCGCTGATACTCACAGGAGCGTCCGTGGATGGCTGGTGAAACTGGTGGGGTGCTTTTTTCCCTTTGGCACCTGAAGTATGACTGTGTTCCTGTACTAATGCTGATGACAGTCTTTTGATGACAGTGTAAGCTAGAAAGGAACTGCCGTTCAAAACGTTGTAGACCCTCAGTGCAGAGTTTCACGTGATATACGGTCAATACTTACTATTTCTTGTAATATTTTTGTCAGGGAAGAAGCATTTCTGTTTTATGGTTAGGTGAAACTAAGCTATATGGGATTGGAAATGTGGTGTCTGAAAGAAACTGCATTATTCTCAGCTCTTTGCTTCAGTGCTGCTGATAATTCGATGCTCCAGAGGTTATGGCTCCAAAATAACATCAAGGCATCTTTGAGAACATAGGAAGTCTTAATGGTAATAATTAGGATTGGGGGAAATCATAAACCAGTCTGACCTTCATCATTTCTATGCATGTGTGTAATTCAACTGTGATTTAGAAAAAAAGGATGGATCTGTTAACAGTAGTTTTTGCTGTGTGCTGTCTGCTGTGTTCCTTGGAAGTAGTTACATGCCTCTTCTGAAAGCAGAGTTACGGTGAAATGGGTGTACTAGGGCTAACGTGTTTGGGTTTTTTTCTTTTTTCTTTTTTAACAGTATTTAGCTTCTAATTTAAATTGATAGAGAAAACCAATGTAATAAGTTCTGCTGGTATGACTAGGATGAGATTTTTACTTCATTTTCGTTTTCTTATGTAAGAAGTTACTTGGACTGAAACCGGCAGTGAAACCTTGGCTTTCTGGTAGTGATATAAGCATCTGAGCCTTAGTTTGTCCTAAAAGACATTCTCTTTAAATTTTTACCATAAAGTTTGTTGGCTTTCCAATTATCTCAAGTTTTGACATTTAAGGATGTCTTTCTCTTTTTCTTTGATGGAAATGCTATCTCAGTGTGATTTTTCTCTACTTTTCCCTCTCCCCTCCCGAAATCAGCCACATCTGTATCTTCTCAGGAATGTAGTTTGGTTTCTAGTACAAATGGTGCTGTGTTAATTTGTTTTATATTAGATTAAAAGACTGGGACATGAGTGAGTATGAGATGTATTGTGGCTCATATAATATTGGAAAGCTACTGTTGGAAATAATGGGCATCGCGACGTGAAAATGCGTTGCAATAATGCTGAGTGAGAATTGCAGGGCCTTGCCTTAGGGTTGTGGCATACTGAGATGTGCAGGACTCTGGTGGCTCCTTTGTGCAAGGCCTATTTGAATATGGAGGTGCAAAAAGTGGATGTTTGAGGGCGGTGTTTGTGGATTACCTGTGCCCTGTGTCCTCTCAGACAGAAGAAATGGGCCAGGTGGAGTTACCTGCAGTCAGGATCCAGCCCACAGACTGCCAGTTGCATCGCTCTTTTCACACCAAAAGGCTTGATTTTATTCAACTTCCAGTAATTTGTCTAGTTTAAAAACAAAACCTGCCTTACGGGAAGCAGTTTGCATCTGTGGAACTTGACTTTGCGGGGTGTAAAGATTATAGATCTTGGGCTGTTGGTTTTTTTTTCTGCAATATTTTGTGTGATTAACCCAAAACAACACTGAAAAGCAGGTTTAGCTGTGGTCTGTTTTAGATGGAATAGTTTTAATGGTAAATGTTTGAAATTTTTGTTCTGTAAGTATAAACACATCAGCCGGTAGATGGCTTTCATATCGTATTACCTAAAGAATTTTGTCTTTCAGTAGTAAGAAAATCTCAAGGTTCTGCATATGGGGGAGGCTTCATTGTGTATATGAAAGCTCTTGTATATGTAGGTACTGAAATACTGTTTATTGTGCACATCCTGCTCTTGAAGCACATTTGGTTTGATGAGACAGGGAATTTTTAGTTGGGTTATGGTTGCCTCGCAGTGAATCTTCTGTGTTCTGAAGCCGTTGTTAATTTAGCACTTGAAAAAAAATAATGCTAATTTAGTACTAATGTAATTAATCTCCCTGAAATAAATTTTACTGTTCAAACTGAATATCCACAAAGGAGTTGAGTGTCACTTAATTACACTTTTCCAAGTTGTTTCAGGTGTCCCAGTGTATAAAAATACCCACTTGTTTTGAAAGCTTTTTCAAAATTACATTCACAATAAAATTGTATAGGAGCTTGATTTCAGACCAGATGACACTTCTGGGAAGAAAGTGTTAACCACTGCTTTAGTGGTAAGGAAGTTTTCAAACCTTTAACACAGGGTGTTTGTAGAACATCTGCTAAATGTCGGTTTGGTTCGTGTAACTTCTTTGCAGCTCTGCCAAGGACTTAAAACTCTAAATTAGCAATTACAGAGGATAACAAAGCGGCGTGCTGGAAAGGAACTAATTGATATCCAGTGTTAAAGCTATGTGTGTATACATTTACATGTATATGTGCAGTGCTGTATGTGCTGCGGAAAGGCAGGTGTAGTTGGCATGAGAGGAATTTTTGCTATCAACTCGTGGTTTTTGGTATTAGCCTTCCCTGCAGAACACTACCTGAAAAAGCCCTGAAACCTTTCAGGTAGTTCATATTGCCGCACGTGTGCCCCGACTCATGGAAGCAGGCTGTGGTAGAAAGCATCCTCTGTTGTACCTGGGAGAGTGTTGTGGCGCGCTACTTGTGACGTTTTCATGGACACCACGACAGTGGCACCTGACTGTCCAGGCGCCCCCCCCCAATGCAAACAGTAGACAGTGATAACCAGTAATTAACAGGGGTATTGAGTTTAACAAACTAAAATGAGGCTGGGGGGAAAGACGATATTTGCTTGGGGAGAACAAATGACTTGGCTAAAAATAGGTATTTTTTTTAGGAAGAAATCAGTAAGAAAGACTGAGTATGATGTAGAAATTATCACAACTTCATTCTAGTGAAGGGATCCTTTTCTGAAGGGGGGGTGTGTGGCTTGTGGTGGGGGTTTTGGGGGGGGTTTTTTATTGTTGTTGGGGTGTTTTTTCAGGGAAACCTGTTCTATGTGGGTAACGGCTCGTTTTTAAGGGTAGTGCCATCTGTGGAATACATTCATTTACCCAAGTGAAATGAGCAGTTTGAGGATTTTGTGTTCATTCTTGTCATCTTTTGATTCTGGGCATGTTGGTTTTCACGTTCTTTTTCTTAAAACCGGGAAACTTTTTCTGTTTTGCAGTTGGTGTAATCAGATGTCCGATATGCCGCCAAGAATGCAGACAGATTGATCTGGTGGATAACTACTTTGTAAAAGACACATCAGAAACACCAAGCAGCTCCGATGAGAAGTCAGAACAGGTATGGCACTTCACTGCTTGCAGGAATTCATGTGCTGGTTTTGTTTCTGTACGTGTTAATGCTTTCCAGGAGAATGATGGTGACGGTTGCCCTTTGCAGGTGTGTACAAGCTGTGAAGATAATGCTAGTGCTGTTGGATTTTGTGTAGAGTGCGGGGAGTGGTTGTGCAAGACTTGCATAGAAGCGCATCAGCGAGTAAAATTTACTAAAGATCATATGATCAGGAAAAAAGAGGATGTATCTTCAGGTGAGTGTTTGGATATCACTTAATCCTGCCTGTAGTAAAACCTTTTTCTCTTTGGCACAGGAAAAAAGAGAGTGGGAGGATTATTTAGGTAACAACCAGCTGTATGGCTTTCTCCAAGGATTTGGGAAGAGTTTAGTGCTACCAGTGCAAAATTGGTAGCTCTAAAAATAGAGGAAAAACTAAATTTTAAACTAAAATGGGTTATTTGCTAATACTTTGTACAGTTTGGTGTCCAATGTAAAAAAATATCTTAAGTACGGAAGAAACAGAATGAGACTGCAGTCTTTGGAAAGGATTTAGATCCATTCTTACTAATCCTTTTATTTAGTTATGTAACTGACTAAATGGAGGGGTTGAAATCTGGAGAGCACTGATGTATTGGTAATCTTACCCATTGGCCGAGGAAATTACGTTATACATTTTGCTGTACTTGGTTATAAGGAGCAATTATAGTTCTCCCAGTAGAGAATTATATACAGATATTGAATATAACTATAAGCTTCTGATGTTACTGTTGTATTGATACTGCTGAATAAATGTGGAATTTGAATTTATTTTAGGTTTAATATCTTTTTCAGCTAGCAATATTTAACGTGAAGCGTGTGTACAGTTTGTTTAGACATACAGCTTTATTAGAAATTAATTCTTAAACTATTGTTTGACCGTAAATTGTTTGTAACCTACTGAGGTGATGTGGAAAACATTCTCAAAACAGGTAAAAGGTAACTGGATTTTAGCTTAGAAGATTTTATTTGTAAATGGGATAAAAGTTCCGATGTAAATACCTGTAGGTTCTAAACAATCTGGATGTATATGAAGACTGATCACATTGAAGAAGAGAGATCTTGATATTTTGCGCTCTCTCTACATTTAAAATAAAATAAAATGCCATTTCAGAGGAGTAACACTGCTTTGCTTTCTGGCAACTCTCATCAAAATCATGTTAATAGTTAAAAAGTTTGCTATTGAGCTTAGTAATTCTAGACAACATTCTTATTTCACTTGCTCTGTCAAATAAACTTCACTTTTGGAGAGGTTTCTCTGTATGTCTTCATGGGTATTGTTTAATGAGAAATATTACCTATTTAAGTTTAAATGTGTTAATCCTAGTAGACGAGGCACCCTTAAAGGTGAAATCAATCTACAGGGCCCTACAAAGAATTACTAACGGAGTGCTATACTGTGACTGTCAAGGTCATACTATAGCTTCACTTCCCCCTCAATAACCTGAGTGGGGAGGTGCCGGAAGATGCCGGTTCCAGTGAAGTAAACTTTCTATCAGGAATCTAGGCTGCTGTTTACGACGATGGGAGCCCACATGTGGTCGGTACGGTAGCATGTGGCAAGAATGTACCCTTCCTTTGACCTGGCGTGCAGCAATCTTTAGTAACTCTCTTGATTGCAGGGAATAACTGCATTATTTTCTCAGGGGAGCTGGTTCCCTTCTTTCTTGTTAGCCTCTAAGGTATGCCCCGGAGACTTTAAATTTCTATTAATGAGTGTCAGCTGGTTCATGAGCTCTCTTTCTTCACAATAACTTGCATGATATAACAAGCTTCAGAAATGTTGGAGGAAGACATTCATGTTTTAAAACTTGCCTGCTGTATCTCCCAAAGGCTGCTTTCCTCTGTGCTAAGCTCAAAATATCTTTAGAAGACTGTGCAGCACTTTTTAGTAAACTTGGAACTATTTTTTGATGTTATCTGTAATTTGCTTAAATGGAGAAGTTAAGCAGTTTAGCTGGGGTTTAAGTAACTCTTAACACGGGCTATGTTTGTTTTGCATTTACTGCTTCAGTTGCATATGACTTACTGAGGTTTATAAAGGCTTTTGAAGTGATAATTTAGAAAATGTGTGGGTGTTTGCCAGTATAAAAGTTTGTGAGGTTTGGTCCGCCCCTCAGTGCGTCACAGGTGGAATTGCATGCAGTTTAATCTTTAAACACGTGCACATGATCCTGGTGTTTGTGTACAGCTTTTACATTCTTACCTGTGCCAGTGTCTTTTGAGCATTTGTGATGGAGAGGAATTCCTCCTTCTCTTTGTATGTCATAAAGCGGAAACAGCTATAAACCACTGGCACTGTAAATATTTCAATGAGAACGTATTCACGGTAACTTTAGGGTGAGAACAGGTCTGTAGTAATCTTTGTCTAAATTCTTGGTTGTTACTTGGCTTGGAAGTTAGTTCTTTTGCTCTTCAGATTGTCTAAATTTTATTTTTAAATGCAAAAATGGTTTATTTTTAAAAACAGAGGCCGTGGGAGCATCTGGTCAACGTCCTGTTTTCTGTCCTGTCCACAAACAAGAGCAGTTAAAACTTTTCTGTGAAACATGTGACAGGCTGACATGCAGAGACTGTCAGTTACTGGAACACAAAGAACACAGGTACAAATATTACCATGTCTTAATTCCTGTGGTGCACTTTCTCAGAGGATGAAATGGCATTGATTGAAAACAATTGTGTCATTAAATGCTGTTGTATTTACTCTTTGTCAGACTGAAATGATCCCTTGCGAAGGAGAACCTGTGTGGGGTGCTGAAAACTTTAAGTCATCAGTTGGTTGAGCTTTGTCAAGTATCTTAAGAGCAGACTCAAAGCAACATGGTGTGAGGTGATTGGGTGCGATTAAGACGTTAACTTGCCTGGCGTTGACCAGTGCTGTTGCTCTGTTCAGGGCCTGGATAGGAATCGCTGCAGCCCTGAACAGCTGGTGCTGTAAAGAAGCAAAAGTGATATAGTGAGCCATGGATGAGGTCATTTTTTGAAAGGGCATGTTTGATTATGGAAGAGTCTTTCAGTTAGGGTAGTTTTGTAAAGGAAGGTATAAACTTTGCCTCATAGATTAATATATTTTTCTAGTACAGAGGGGAAAAATGGGTTTGTTTTTAGTTGGTTGAAAGTTGCCTCATTCCAAGTAAAAAGAAATGATGGGTTTTGGCTCTGGAGCTTGCTTTTAGCTGCTAGAAAAAAAGTTGGAATCTCTTAAGATACATGAAAGCTTCCTGCTCTTTAGCAGCTTTGTCATATAGTAGTTTGAAAAAATACTTTGCAGTGTTATAATATAGAATCTGGGAATAAATATGTGTTTATCAGCTACTGCAGCACTGCTTTTCCTAGTCAGTCTACAAGTCATGCTTCTCTGTAAAGGTGCTTGGCAGTATGGTGCAGTACTGAATCTCGTGGGGTTTTTCAGAGTAGCGATTACCCTCATAGACTGCTACAGCAGCCTCGTGGAGAACTTTTCCTTTTGGAGTTAGTACTATTAAAATAGTAACAACCTCAAATATTCCTGCTCTGTTCTTTCATAGGCTTGATCACAAATACCCTGGAAGACACCCTTGTCCAGAAAGCGTGGTCTCCCAGGATGTGTTAACTAACTTCTCCTAGGCGGTTTCTTTGCATCTGTTCTGCGCATGATGCTAACGGATTAACCATGTATCTTGTTCTACTTACCTGTTCTCTTCCAGTAAGAGAACACTTTGCTATTAACATGCTTTGCAGAATATTCTTTAAAGACTGTTCTGTCTGCAGATGTGAATTACAGATGATTAGGGTGACTGCTTCGTCTGCCATGAAGTACAACTGAGATTTTTTTTGAAGCTCGCTAAATCATTGAAGGAAAATCATGCTAAGTGGAAACAAGAATTGATTTTAATCTTCTGTTTACTTCTTACCTGCAATCCTAACAGTTTACACCAAAGGAGGATGAATCACCATTTCAGTAGCAACACGGTCCGGTGTTCAGTTCACAATTTCAACTGAAAGAGCTGCTGGTGATTCTGTAGAAAGCTGACGTTCTTTTCGCATCATAGTGGTGTGTGATTGCTCTAGTATAGGCAATTTTCAGTCCACATGCTTTGGAAGCTAGAAGTACAATACAATATAAAACAAAAAAAAGTCTTTTGGCTGTAGCAGAATCTACAGCAAATTTTTAGCAGTAATAGGTAAGTGTAGATTTTTTTTTTTTTTTTCTCCTTAAAGTGGAAATCTGTTTTTCAGCTTGATGAAAATAATTTCAGAAAATCTGCAGATCTCCAAGCATTTCAAATTTTGTGGCCTTGGAGCCTTAGTAATGCTACTTTGTGCACTATAGTACCTAAAATCCTGTGATGCTGTCTGTCTGCAAGAACTTCAGACTCTTCCTAGAAAAAGCACCATTTCAACACTGAGGAAGCTAAATCCTGGTATTTGAAACTTACCTGTTCCTGGTGCAAAGGGAACGGACAGGAACTGTTGTGAACAGTGTGCTCCTTCCCTAAGTCTCTGTTATCATAATTACGAGTAGTTGGAATCAAGAAGCAGTGTTACTGTGGATTTTATCGTATATCCACAGGGTCTTTTCCTGTTAGATTAGATCATAATGTCCTACTAGATTTTGGCAAAGGACAAAACTACCTTCATTTGTGGTTGGGAGATACTATAGGTTACTTCTAATGCAGCTTATAAGATGCTTCACTTTAATTGTAGGAGTTTTCTGCCAGTTTGAACGTTAGGTTTTAGCATAGTGAAGAAGGGAAGACATTCTGGGAACCTAAGTTTTCCCTGTTGTTAACAAATGATATTCCAGAAACGTGAAGCTTGCTTATTCCAAAGACAAGAAGTGGCAAGTGACTGATGGGAATCCTAGGGCTTGGGGGGAATCTTCTGAGAGTCGAGCAGTCGATCAGAAGAGATGGAAGTTCTTGGAGCTACTTAATTTCCCTTGCCATTTTCAATGTAGGCGCTTTGCTTTGTGAATCCCTCTTGTGATGCATAGTATGTTAGGAAAACTCAACTAATTTTATTATTTTCCTTCGATGTAGCTACTGGCACTCTTCTCAGATGAAGCAATGGAAAGTGCCTTTGATACAGTAGCTGTTTAGTTGAAGGGCTTGGAAGGGAATGATAATGTTATTCACTTGGAAGTACTGAAAAAAAAAATTAAGAATTTTTTTTTTTTTAATAGGAATATTTCCTTTCAGATTAAACTGAATAAAATATAAGCAGTATAATCTCTGTTTTTCTGGGATAGGAGGTTTTTTTGTGTGTGTTATTTAATGTGTTTTTAAGCTATTAGTGCATTTTCCTCATCTAACGTTAACAAAATTATTGTCAAACTGAAGTTCCTGGTATCTCCTTTCGCTTATATTCCATCGCTTGCTGTCTTGTGAAATGATGCGGCACATTGTCTCCCTGTGTAGTGGGAATTAATAAGTGATCCATAGGGCTTCAGTCTTCTGGACATTTACAAAAGGTTTTATCAGTACTGAAACATTTTGTGCACTGGTTGGCATACGTATAGTCTGATTTTTCTGCGTGTTTTGTTTTTTTTTTTTTTTTTTTTTTTTTTTTTTTCAAAATTTTATAGCTTTACATCTAAATTGAGAATGCTTGGTTTCAGCACATTGCTCCTTGGTAATTGATACCTTCTTTTGCGTGTTGAAAAGGTATCAGTTTCTGGAAGAAGCTTTTCAGAACCAGAAGGGTGCAATTGAGAACCTGTTGGCCAAACTTCTTGAGAAGAAGAATTATGTAAATTTTGCAGCTACCCAGGTTCAGAATAGGTAAGTACCCCAAAATGATTAACTGTTACTATCACATTGCCCTTTTAACGAATCACAGTAAGATGAATGATGGGACTGGAATAATAGTGATGTCTTAGTTGATTCTGTATGTTTAGTTGTATTGGACTTAATTTCTTTTCGTGATGCTTTCTTCCCTATAATGCTGTTGGAAGTTGTTACAAGAAACAAATGTCTAAGATGATGTGTTTTATGGTGACTTTGTGTAGAAGTGAAGATGTGACATGTTTAGTATTCTTGGGGGAAGGGGGAGGAGATAAAAAAGGGGGGAAGGAATAAAAAAGGCAAGGAAAACCCATTTTATGGTTTCTGCTAAGTTCAGCTCTAGGTGACAAGCGTTGGCTGTAGAGCTAAACAAATCTTTCTTGGAAATATTTTTGTTTCATATGAATGCCTCTGATAACTGTGTAACAAAAACTTGTTTTGAAATTGAATAGAAAATTGGATAGGAAATTGGGGGGGGTGTTGGTCTGTTGGGGCTTTTTAATTAGGCAAGCAAAACTTAGTGTAATTACTTGAAAGGAAGACAAGCTTTTCTTAAACTACTGTTTAACATAAGAATTCCAGGGTTAGCTTAAAACCAAAGTAATATTGAATATAGAGAGAGAGCGCACATGATCACTGCTGGCTTTTTACCCACTTGTGGTGATGTGGTGAGGTCAGGGAATTCCACTGTGATTCTTGGTGGTTTTGTGAGCCTTCTGCAACTTTAAGTCATTTGCAAAATGACAGAGCATCTGGACATGGGAAGTACAGGGGTAGAAGGAAGTGTACCAGAGACGTAAAGAGAAGTTCTGGTGGAAATTTTTAACTCCCAGTGGTACCATGTACATTTAAAAAGAAAAGAAAAGAAAAAAAAAAAAAAAGAGTTGTAAGGGAAGGAGAACATACAACGTGACGGAGGCAGATGTGTGAAGATGGAAGCAAGGAAAATAGAAATTTTTATATGCTGATTTGGCATGGAACTCTTTGAAGGGACCCAAAAGAGAGGGGACCATCGTGAAGCAGGAGGACAAGCTGTGGAGTTGTTACAGGCTTGAAGAAGAGACAGAAACCCAGGTACATGGGAAATAAACTGAAAGCTCAAGAAATGTCACAGAATGTTCTCTAAGAATTCAAGGACAATAATTGGTGTTGCATATATGAGTAACACATTGTAATGTTTTTTTGCCTAACAGTTTCTGGCTTCACTGAAAATTCACTGAATTTCTGTGGCATGTGATTGCTGAGCCAAATGGGTAGTGCAAGTGAGACACTGGTTTACTTTGACATGCCGTTCAGTTACTTTGCTGAAGTGTAGGGCACAAAATCTATTATAATAAAAACTTCAGGGAATGAAAAAGAAGTGTATTACAACAATGTTGTCAGTGTTAGCAGATGGTATGGAATTGCCATTGTATGTGATCGTGAAGCATAAAACAGCGTTGAAGAAACAGTTGCCTGCTGGAATAATTGATAGGTGCCAAAGCCAAGGATGGATGCCTGCTGACCTAATGAAGCATTGGTTGAATGTTTTTTGGAGTAGAAGACTAGGTTGTGCTGTCACAAAAAAGCACATGGGTTCAAGATGCCTAAAAGGGCATTTGACACCAACAATGAAGATCATTGCCATTGTATTGGTCTTGTGATCAGGATGAATGACACCACAATTCAGAAGCTTGATCTAGTAGCAAAGAAGCCCTTTAACAAAGGACCATTTAAGTCTTTACACTCAGACTGGCTTGTGGCAAGGTGTTGTGCTCTGACTTGTACAAGCGAAGTAAAGAATCCTGCTGCGATGCTATGTTGTCACTAGATTAAGGCAGCATAGGATCAAATAAATCCACAATTTGCAAAGGAGTTTAAGAAATGCTGTATTTCAAATTCTGTGGACAGAGCTCAGGATGATTTCCTTGAGTCCGAAGAAGTTGAGAATAGTGAAGACACTAAAACTAAGGAAGAATGACAGCAATGGAAATGATGAAGAGGTGTGAGGTATAAAAAACCTGAAAGGCAGTAGTAGTAAAGCACAAGAGAATGATGTAGACAGGCATATCATTAGCAAAATGCTTATATCCTTACTGTGTTTTGATTACAGGTCTGTAATAACCTTTTTGTTACAAGATTTTTTGGGCTCAGGTGGAGGGGTCCATCTGAGGTTCAGGGTTGACTTCCTTTCTGGTTAATATACAGTAGCATAAATGTTTAAGGCATTGTATATAAATTCTTCACAGTGAAAGAGGAAAGAGACATGATATGGAGATAAATATATTTGTGTACATATACACACGTCTTGGCTGGGTTATGTCTGTATGGTGTATAAACATACAAACAAAGTGTATAAACTACCAGGACTGTTTCATATTATTTTAAGTAAAAATGCAAGTTGTTAATTGAGATATGTCTTGATCTCAGGCTGCTTAAATTTTTTTTCCAAAACTGGAATTTTAGGTGGCTTCTTTGAAAAAGTTGGTTAGTGATGATTTCTCTTTTAGAAATCAAACACGCTATAATTTCTGCACTTATCAGAACTTCTGCAATACAGAAATTGTTCCTTCAGTCTTCGAGGCTGGGAAGCAAGTTTGCTGATGACAATAAGCTGAGTGGAAGTGTTGATCTGCTTGAGGGTAGGAAGGCTCTACCGAGGGACCTGGACAGGCTGGGTCGATGGGCTGCAGCCAGTTGTATGAGGTTCAAGAAGGCCAAGTGCCGGGTCCTGCACTTGGGTCCCAACAACCCCAAGCAACGCTGCAGGCCTGGGGAAGGGCGGCTGGAAAGCTGCCTGGTGGAGAAGGACCTGGGGGTGTTGGTCGACAGGCAGCTGAATATGAGCCAGCAGTGTGCCCAGGTGGCCAAGAGGGCCAAGGGCATCCTGGCTTGTATCAGGAGTGATGTGGCCAGCAGGAGCAGGGCAGGGACCGTGCCCCTGTGCTGGGCGGTGGGGGGGCCACCCCTCAAATGCTGGGGTCAGGATTGGGCCCCTCCCTCCCCGAAGGACCTGGGGGGGCTGGAGCGTGTCCAGAGAAGGGCAGCGGAGCTGGGGAGGGGTCTGGAGCCCCAGGCTGCTGGGGAGCAGCTGGGGGAGCTGGGGGTGTTCAGCCTGGAGCAGAGGAGGCTGAGGGGAGCCCTCATC